ACTGGCTTGCTGAGTGTGTGATTTCTTCAGCATTCAGCACCTGCATTGTTCAATAAGCGGATTAGAAAACATCGCATTAAACTGGCCTTTCAGGCAGCTGCTTTTATATTTTCTCCTTCCCTTGTTTTGCAAACCACCATTTCGCAAGAGAGCCCTTTCAGATTGCTCAAATAGATTGGCCTTTTCCAGATCCTGGAGGTCACAGTTTCACATTCACTGATTTCCCAACACTCTACTGCTTTTCTTGATTTTCTTAGAGAAGAGGACTAGCATTTTGCAGGGGAGGAGAACGGACAGATTTCTGAAAGTTAAACTCTGTGCTCTGTTTTGGAACCACAGCAGCAGAATCTCCTTAAATCACTTTTTTTTTAAAATCTTTCTCCTTGTTTATTCCAGTCTCTTCTGTTCAGTTAACTGTAGCAACGGGTGTTTTTGTACCCCAAATATGATATAGTAGTCCCAAGAGAAAATGGCCTTCTGTTATTTTTAAATTGCTACAACAAGGAGTAGCCAAAGTATTTCCAGGATTGCATCTCTCAGGGATATGACAGGCAAAAACTAGACGCTTTTCTGGTTTTAAAGATGGCTTCTCAAAAGACCGACATTTCCCAGATTTTCATAGAGTTAAATTGGAGAGATGTTGAGAAGTAGATTGTTTTCATCTTCTTTTCTAAAATGCATGGACACAGTGGAGCTGTAGTTGTTGCTGTTCTATCTAGAAACTCTTATGAAAATCAATGCAGGCCACACATAAACAAGGTTGCTATTCAGTGGTAAAAGCGGATTCAAATTCTCTGGCAGCTTAGCATCTGCTGACATAATTAAGACAATTGAACAATAATGGCTGTTCAGAGATTCTTTGTGTGCTTCCCAAAGCTTTTGATAGGAAGAGAATGTGCTAAGAAATGCTTAAATAAGCAAGTATACAGCTATATTTTCCAGATACCTTGCCTGATACAAAAATAGGGGTAAACATGATGTGACAACTGTGTGTGTGTGTGTGTGTGTATCTGTGTGTGTGTTCTCTGGGAAAGTAACATAAGAACTGTTCAGCATAAATTATTTATTTATTAAATTTATACAGCTACTTATGTCACAACAAGTGACTCTGCGTGATGTACAATAAGGGTACAACAAAGTTAATAAATATTAAAGAATTATGGTTGCCACACAGAGGCATTTCTTTAGATTGGAATGGGCGTTTTTATTCACCTGTCAAGTCCTTTCCAAAGAACCGGGTTAGGTAGATATTGTTGTTTGATGGAGTTAAGGGGACCGTTGCTCTTCCAAGAAAAGCTGCTTTTTACAATTGACTGATGGTGATTTTTGTCAGTGCCAGAGGTACTCAAATGATGCTCCAGTGGTTTGGGGATTGTACCAGATATCGCATTCAAATATTGGTACAGGTCGTTTTCGACTTACAACAGTTCATTTAGTGACCATTACAACGACAGTGAAAAAAGTAATTTGTGACTGTTTTTCACACTTACAACCATTGCATCCCCTTGGTCAAATGATCAAAATTCGGATGCTTGGCAACTGGTTCATATTTATGACAGTTTCAGTGTCCCCAGGTCATGTGATCACCTTTTGCGACCTTCTGACAAGGAAAGTCAACGGGAAAGCCAGATTCACTTAACAACCATGTGACTTATTTAACAAATGCAGTGATTTACTTAACTATGGCAAGAAAGATCATAAAATGAAGCAAAACTCACTTAACACATTTTTCCCTTAGCAACATAAATTTTGGGCTCAGTTGTGGTCTCTTTGCTTTCTTTTGTCATAGTCGTTCTACTTCTACTTGCAAGTCTTTGTATTTTGTGATCCCCTCCCCAGTTCTTTCTCATCTATACTGCTGTCTCCAGATACTACAACATCCACTGTCCAGACTTTTTTTAATCTTATCAAAAGTTGTTAAGTCTGGAATTATGCGGCATGTGCTTGTCTAGTTGAATTCTAAAGCTCCAGAGCATTTTGGCATCTTAATTTTCTGTTACTTTGTCTATTTTGTGGTCCCACTAGTTCAGTGGTTCTCAACCTTTTTAATGCCGCGACCCCCAACCGGTCGTAAGTCGAGGACTACTCAACCGGTCGTAAGTCGAGGACTACTCAACTGGTGCAGCACCGTTTGCAGAATGGGACTTTTGACAGACTCAGCAGGGCAGAGACAGCCTGGACAATTCCTGGACAATAGAATTAGACTCTATTCAAGAGAGTCTATTCTATTGGCTTTCAAAAGCCAATAGAATAAAAGGGAGTAGCACAGCTAAGGAAAAGGGAAAAGAAATGGTGGACTGCGTTGTTTGGCGACCCCCGTGAAATGGTCGTTCGACCCCAAATGGGGTCCCGACCCACAGGTTGAGAACCACTGCACTAGTTCCTCATTATAGACAATAGTATTTCTTGCAGATATTCCAATGCACCATTGATGCTATGTCAAGGTTCCAACTAATGGATCCAAACAAATCAGAACTCTGAGGCTTGAAGTTTCCTCAAAGAACATGTTTATTGGATACATAATATAGGCCAGTAGTGGCGAACCTATGGCATGCGTGCCAGAGGCGGCACTCAGAGCCCTCTTTGTGGGCACGCGCGCCTTGCCCGGAGATGGTAACCGTCCTCTTCAACCAGCCGCCTGCTAACTCGCTGAGGTCCCACATGGCTGGATGCATCCCAGCACCCGTGCACTTGCTGGTCTCTGTGTGCAGGGGCCGATGGTGTCAGACAGCAGCCGCCCCGGTCCCTGCCTCGCCTTGCCCTGCGACAATGGCACCCCCACCCTGCCTCACCTTGCCTTGCCTCATCCTGCAGGATGAGCCTCCTGCCCAGAGACCCCCAGGATCCCCCCCAACCCTGCCCGGCCCCCACAGGTGTCCCTCCCCAGGAGCAATATTGAGCTGGCCACGCCCACCCTGGCCACACCCATCCATCTGCATGACTGTTGTAGCCACACCCACCTGGCGATCTACGCCCACCAGGCGGTCCACACCCACCTGGCACCCGGCGATACATAAGTGGCTTTTGGGTTGCAGTTTGGACACTCGGTCTCTAAAAGGTTCGCCATCACTGATATAGGCACAGTCAAAAGTGAAACCAACTGTAAAATTCCCCCAGGAATTCAAAGTAACTAAATGTAACACTTCCCTCCCTTCCTCTATGCTGTTGATCATGCTACTCAATGAAGGCAATTGGTGGGCTTCATGACCCTCCTTCTCTCTATCTTCCAGCACCTGTGGGAATGACCTTGGTTCCGACCAGACTGCTCCATGTTTAGTCTAAGAATACTTTCGGTTTCTTCCCCCCCCACCCCCCCCACCCCAACCTGTGTGGCAACTGAGAACAAAAAACATGGCTTCAGCCACGTTTGTTTCAGAAGTTGACATGCTATTTTGTTATTCTACTTTTTGTAGACAGTCTGTGCAGTCTTCTTGCAGCAGTTAACTAAGTGGTCCAATGTTTCTTCAGCTTGTTTTACAGAGAGAGCTTTTGCTGTCTGTTGTTGTCTTCTCAGTTCTGGCTAAGTATGTATTTGTTCTTAAGGGTTGGCTTTGTGTGGCCAGAATTAGCCCCTCTGTTTTTTCAAGTTTCCTGCTCCAAGCCATTACCAGATCTTGCTATCTGCTAGGTTTTTTTAAAATGTACTGGCTGTGTAATACTTTGTCTTGCCATGTCTCTTTTCTATTCTTCATTTGATCTTACTTATAGGACAGTTTGAGTCATTCAGTAAGTCTTCATTGTGTACATTATGATGGATGAGGGATATGATTCATTGTCATTTCCTGGTCTTCCTAGCCAGGTCTTTTAGTTCTGCTTGAATCCAGTCCACTATTCCATCTGTGTATCTAATGATAGAAATTGCCCAGTTGTTAATTGCCTTGATAGCATTTCCTCCATTGAGTTTGGACTTTATAATCTTCTTCAATCTCATAATGTATTCATTTTTAATCTTCATTTCTCCTGTTGATGGTAAGACTGGCGCACTTGTCCAGTTCAACCTCCTTTGCCATGGCTTGACCTGTTTGGTATTATTGACAGAGGACTCAACAAACAATGACAAACAATAGTGGTGTTAGTGTATCTCCTTGAAAGATTCCTCTCTTATTCACCTATTTTATCCAAACTGCATTTTTGTTGTATTTCTTTCGGTTGTCCCATACTTGTGCCCAAAGCTGCGCTGTTTCTTCTTTGTCAGGAAGTTATTTATTTATTAGATTTCTGTATCAGCCATCTTGTCTAAAGGCGACTAAGAAAATCTTTTTTGAGAAATTGCCACTTTATAAAATTCAGCTTTTGCTATAACTGGGAAGGTTACCCAAAATTTCCCCCATACACCTTGGCAGAAATGGAATAAACTGAATTTCCAACAATATTCTCCCTGTCCATTCAGAATTAAGAAATGAAATGAAATGAAATCACACTCTTTTTCTTGCTCCCATATTTGCAAAGATACTTGAGACATCCACTGTTTTTCATTTTGTCCTTGTAACTCTTATTTCAGTCTGAACTAAATCTCATCTGTTTGAAAAGATATTTACCAAGCAGAGTAATTTATTGACTTTGGGTTGGATAGAGAATGGTGAGAAATAGATGAGAAAAGTTCATTTGTGGAATTAGCATTGTTTCTGTGCAATAGCAATTAATTAAGCCATATAGTTTCCATATGTATGTTTACTTTACAACTTGAAAGGTTTTATCTACTCAAATAAAATTTAAGCTTCAGGTATGGTTAGATAATTTTGTTTCCAAATTTCTAGAAGCATTTTTTCATATGAGTAGGTATATATGTATGTGTATTTGCATGCATGCATGTTCCAGGGTGAGTTTAGGTTGAAGTTACTGGCCAGGATAATAGAACAGGCTTTGTAGCAAAATGGAGTCCACCTGGATTTCTCCATCCACCCCACAGCAACTGTACCCCTGGTTCTTGTAGTTAGTAGTGATCTGCTTCATACCACCTTCTTTTTTTACTTATTTGTCCATTTCTACATTTGGTATAGAGATCCATGTGAAAGCCACATGACTCACTCAACCAGTTCCAGTTCAAGCCTTGATCCCAGTTCCCAGTTCCAGGAGAATAATGGGCAGGTCCAGACCTCCAGATGGGATGAGCAACAGAAGGTCTTTGCCTTGGAACAGATCTGTGGGGTCTTCAGAGTTGATCTGGGACAGATGAGATCTCTTCGCCTTTTTTTCAGGTAAGAATTGACTGTGTCCAGACATGGCTGGCATTGCCCTGTTACCTAGGCATGTGATAGCACCACAAAACCAGAATGAATTTTCATTCTTGGCTTTTCATTTGGAGAAAAGATTTCACGCTGCCACATGGGTCAAAATGGATATTGCGGTTCCTTGAAGTGTTGATACTATCTATACTCATCTGCTGGATTTTTTATCATATTGTCCTTGTGTACTTGTGTGTTTTGAATAAGTGATCAAGAAAGACTGGTCTGAGTTGCAAAATGGTTTGCAAATGTGGTTTATTTCTGTGTGTGTCTATTGATGGCTGATTTGTCTAAATGCAAGAGAAAAAAACTTCCTGATAATTTTCCTAAATAATACAAAGTCTGTACTATTTTAAACTTAGGATTTTTTGGGCATGTTTCCCATAACGTGTCCTCCCAGTTGTGTCGAACAATAGTTCCCCAAATTCTTCAGGTTCAAAGAGATAATTTTTGAAATTGCAGTTCAGTGCATCAGAGGGTGTCAAATTGGCACGATTATTTTGTATGGACTTGTGGTAGCTAAGTGATAGGCCATATACTTAGCTGTTGCTTAATGAGTATGCCTGAGAATTGGGAACAATACCATTCATTCTGTTTCCCAGCTGTTTCCCAGGGATTAGTTTCTTGCCTGTCTGTCTACAGGGTTTGGTGGTCTCTTTGCCCTAAATATTTCATATAGATTTATAGCATCTTTTCCCTGTCATCTTCTTCACCTTTTGCTTTGATCTCTAGTGACTGTGCAGTTGAGTAAATAAGGTTGACATGGTCCAGGTAAGCCATGTAAACCACCCCAACCCCTCTCTGAGGCAAATGGGCAGTTAAAAAGTGTGAAATATAAACCAAACAAACAAAGAAGGCAGGTCCATAACAACCAGAACCAATGCAGTCTATAAGAGAGAAGGTAAAGTCTTTTCATTTAAAAGCGGGGAGAGCTGAAAAACTTTACCTGTTTATTATTTTCAGATAATTAACAGTATTGGTGTGCAAGTTTCATGAAACAAGTATGAAGACGTTTTTCATACTACAGTATTCTTCTGCTATTCTTAACCACATATCCACAATAAGTTCAGATTTGAAAAAATTTAATTATGTAAACTTAAAAATTACAATTTGGAACTATCAAGCAAGCTAATTTTTCTCCCTTTTTTCCACTCCCTTGATCTCTGACTATAATTATTTAAATGTATCGTCACCAATCCAAGTGGTGACATGTTAAAACATGAGGGCTAGAATTATGTTGCCTTCCTTCCCAACAAAGTTGGGTAATTGAAGAGTCAGAGGATCAAGTGGTTCCACTATCACAAGATTCTTTCTTATCCACCATTAACCCAAGGTTAAAAGGAATATTTTTCTATCCAATCATCCTTTGGATCCACCTTGTACATCTATCTAGCATGATAATTATTTACGCCTTGCCAGGAGGAGTTTAAGGAAGAAGCAAACTGACCTTGGCAGCCAGTCCCTCAGTTCTTTCGCCCAGATCCATGTTGGTAGGATTTGCTGAGCATACCAAGGCTCAGGTTGATTACCATAAACAATCTGGTAAGTATTACCAGATGGAAACCAGGCCCTTCGCTGGGTACCAAGAAGTGTGTGGCATGCCCTGATTCTTCAAGACCTCACAAGCTACAATTTGGCTATGCTGGTTCATAATCAGAGCCGTGTGTGTTCTGCAGGGGAGAAAATGAAAAGCAACGTCTACCCCCGGAGGGGGGGGGGCGGGAAATCAAAGTGTGTGCTCAGAATATATTATGCAAAGTAAGGTCAGATTATTTCCATAATTCATTTTGATTGCGGTTTGGAGTTCTCAAGGAAATTTGCTGTTTCAGTCCTTGCTGGCACATTCCACAGGGAAATGATGATAAAACAAGCAGGTGAATGAGGAGAGGCCTTGAAAAGAGATGGAGGGCAATAATGGGAAGGAACCACACTGGGCCCAAGCTTCTGACTATGCTGGAAGGATAGTAGCATCCGTTTTCTTTTTCAAGGGTCAGTAATTTTAAAAGCTGGTTTAAATGTGTTGCCTGTAATGGTACTGCTCCTGAAATTGTAGAACGTATTTTATTGTATTGTGAATTTTGTAAAGGTTCTCAGTAGGAATGTCTGTGGAGATTCTCAGTCATCCAGGTCATAATTGTTTCTTTTTTCTTCAAAAGGCAGTTGGACTGTTTTTTCATAGAAGAAGAAGAAAACATTTCGCCTCTCATCAAAGAGGCTTCATCAGTTCTGATGGCAGGGGGAATGGAAGGATAGAAGTTATTGGGCCTATTTTAAAATCTAAACCAGGAAGAAATATTTCTGAGCATGTAAAAATTTTACTTGTCGATGAAAATCCTAAGATTACAGTAGCAGCAGCCAATTTTTTAACTATGGCTATAAAAAAAAGGATTTTAATAGCAAATCAATGAGCTTGGGTTTAAAGTCTGTTATGTAGTATTTATTAAATATTGTACTTGTTAATTTTTTTAACCCAGTGTCAAGTTTAGATTACGTTTGTCATTTGGTTTTGGGCCTTCCAGGGTAAATAAGATTGATTGATTGATTGATTGATTTTATACACTTCTGTTAGCAAACCCTTTATTCTTATCATAGCCCTTTTCACTTGGTCCTTACCTCTTATTATCATAAAATGTCTGTGTTTACATTTTTTTTAGTGTTTTCAAGCCTACAAAAAATGTACACACTGTTAACAGAGTAAAATCGTCCCTTAATATTGTTGGTGCACTGCGGAAATGGTAACCTGCACACAATATGGTCTGTCTCAAAGGGTCCCAGCACAAGGCACCTAGCTAATACATTTTGCTGACTCCGTGCTCCTACATCTCTCTCTGCACCTTTTCCTTCAGTGATGAGGCCTGCACCAGTGGGCAGCTGGTGGTTGCTAGCCGGGAGAGTCAGTATAAGATTTTTCACTTTCACCATGGTGGCCTGGATAAACTCTCCGAAGTGTTTCAGCAATGGAAGTATTGCACAGAGACGCATCTCAAAGACCAGGTAAGTTAGATTAGAGCAGGTGCTTGAAAATGCCAATTCACCTGATGACGGATCAACTTCAGTAGATTCCCTCCTTCTTCCTTGCAGCCTCTGGATAATTAGTAGGCTTGTAAACTCAGAAAGCCCATCTGGTTCTTCCTTATACCGAAGAAGTAAGAACAGCAGTGCTTTCGGACTTCATTTTACATATAGTGGAGGCATCCAAAATGCTAATTTCTTCTAAAATTGGGCTAGAAAGAGAACACATTACATAACAGGAGTAAGCCGGCAGGATTTTATACATGCCAAAGAAGGCTGGGGGAGGAGGGGGGCTTAGAATGCTTTATTGGACATTGAAGACTTCAGTCTAGTTTCATTTGCTCTCGGCGATTGGGCATGACAGCTTGGCTATATATAAACATGGATACAGCAGTGCAAGCAATCATTTGTCTTTTCCGTTTTGCTTGATGTGAGGAGAGATGAAAAACATACATCCTTGGAAGAGGGAAAGAATTTGAATTCCTGTCTAGGCTGTATCAGCATCTTTACTGCGCACACGGTCTTTTTTTAGTAGTAATTTTATTTTAATGATTACAATTGATAACAATTAAAAACAGATACAAACTAAAAAAAAACCACCAAAAAATTAAAGATTCAGAAAAGAAAAAAAGAGAATAAATAGAAAAATAGAAGAAAAAGAAAAAATAAGAAAATACAGTAGCAAAGAAAGCATATAAAGAAATTACAATTACAATTTTAATAACGTATCACCTTTTCTTAAATACAACAAATATATTCTTCCCATATCTCCTTACCTGTAACCAAATCCTTAAACCTTTGTCATTTCAATACTGATGTCAGCAAAAGTCAATTAAGGCTTATCAGAGATAACAACATAAATCTATTTTTAACCTGGATCATACAAACCAACTTTATATTCCTTCCTTTTATTTCTAACCATTTTGATCTTTAGGCCCTTCAAAATGTCCTAGAACTATGATTTCATTTTTCTTTGTCCCTTCATATAAAATTCTTCACAGCTTTAACATGCCTCTTTAGTAAATCCAATCTAGGAAAATTATCCAGGCTTGTTTGAGGTTTTTTTGTTTTTCGGGTTTTTTGCATGTAGAGTGTAACATCTTTTTCCATATCATTTTTTTAGCCTGTCATTTTTAAATCCAGTTTCAAATCTATCTCAATCTTGTGAGGGAGAATTTATTCCCATTACTTCTTTTAGACACTATCTATAGAGGCCGACACTGTTAATTTCTGGGCCCATTGTTCAAAGCTATCCTTTAGTAGGCCCAGTGTTAAAATATTTTGCCTTATTCTATATTTGTTCAAGTAGTCCTCAACTAACAGCCACAATTGGGATTGGAACTTCTGTTGCTAAGCGATGCAGTCATTAAGTGAGTCATCACATGACCACACCTGATTTTACTTTCTTTTTGTCTCATGGTTATAAAGCAAATCACAAGATCATGAAGCGAATCTCACTTCCTCCATTAACTTTGCTTACTGGATGCCAGCTGGGAAGGTTGCAAATAGCAATCACATAAGCCTGAGACTCTGCAACCATCATAAATACATGTAGGTTGCTAGGTGCCCAAATCATGATAATGGGAACTCCATGACGCTTCTAAGTGCAAGGACCAGTTGCAAGTCACTTTTTTCAACACCACTGTAAATACAAAATGGTCACTAAATAAATGGTGAAACATTGAGGACTGTGTATAAGTCAAATTTGAGTGTTCTTCTCCTTTAATTGTAATCTTTAGCTCGTTCTAGTTCTCTACAGTTCTCTACAGTGTCCAATTTTTAAAGCCTTAACAAAAGAATTAAAAACAAAAGCATTTTTCCCACAGGAAGGATGCTTCCATAATTTTATTTCAAATTTATCTGGACCTTTAGTCCATTTGTAACTTTCTAAAACTCTCTAAAATCAAAGATTTAATCACCCTTTTGTATTTATTCCCCCCTCCAATTTTTTTTCGGTCCTTAAAGTTGTATTTAAAGCTTCTTTTGCTAAGGTTTGGAGGAAACTCAACGCTGTGCCGTAAAACATGCCAGTCCAAAAGTTCCTAAAGCTGAAAAACAATTTACAATCAATTTCAGAAAGTGATTAGAAAAGGAAGTATGTGAACCCAGGGTCCTTTCAAAGTTGACCCCACTTTTACCAAGATGGCTATTTCCTTGTTTCCCAGAGCTCTAAATCCACCTGCGATTGCTGTTTTGCAATCTCCTTGCGAGGTGTAAACAACCTAGAGCATTTGTGGGCAATCTTGAGTCATCTTCTTGTCCAGAGAGGAATAACAAAGAGCTGATCTCCTCACCAGTTATTTACTGCAGCGTCAGCTCCACAAACTTCAGTTTGTCATTTTGTCCCCAGGAGTCCCTCAATTCCCACTGCCAACACGGTCTTGAACATTAGGTATATGCTGATGCCAGTGGATGTACTCCATGAAAGCTTATACTACAATAAATTAGTCATTAATATGCTACAAAACTCATTGTTGAAACAAAATGGCACAGCTGCCCCTTCTGGAAATTGTTCATTCTGTGGCTCTTTACAGTCCATTCCAATCCTGTTTTGACAAGACCCGCTGCCATATCTTCCTTTAATTGGCACAAAGACTTTGCAAAGGTCTTAATTATGTGTTTAAAGGTACCGGAGATGCTTGTTAGAAACAGGGTTTCTAAATTCCCTACCTCCTCCCCCAACACACATTTCTCCTGCTGCTTTCCTCTCATTACAGTGCCACAGGGGCTTGCATTTGTGTGGAGCAACCTTTTGATTTTTAAATTAAATGTCAGCTGCAGTTTTTGCCCTGGAATGGCAAGCGTCCTCAGAGAGCCTGGCACCGCTGCTTCTCTCTCCCCTAACAGCAGGGCTTTTGTATGTGGCCAATCAGATGTAATTTATTACATGCATTCCTGGGCAGACTCAAGATATGGCTGCAAGCTGGGTGAACTGTGATCTTGGACAGGGAGGGGTGAGAAAGGAAGCCAACCACAAAGCAGTTTTAAGGGGACTCAGAACCTTAATTCCTCCAGGCCAGCACCTTTCCCCCAGTTTCCAGAGATTGGCTGGTTGATTGTTTTCCCAGGATGGTGTCAAAATGAGCTGGAGACCTAAGGCCGATGCAGCCATGACACAAGCTTTCTCTTTCCTCTTTTGTTTCCAATTAGCAGCTCACTGACGTGAAGACCTGCATGCAGTTCTCCATTCGCCGGCCCAAGCTCCCTTCCTCTGAGACCCACCCAGAGGAGAACGCATATAAGCGCTTAGATGTCTCTGGGTGGCTTCGTCATTTAAACAAGGCTGGACAAGTCGAAGAAGAGTACAAGCTGAGGAAGGTGAGAAGCAAGTCAACAGCGGCATGTTTTGCTCTGTGGGTTTCAACAGAGAGGCTCCCTCTGGCAGACTCCGTAGGTTAAGGAATTCTGCCCATTGTCCCTGGTTTGGGCCAAATCCTGGCAAGAGGGAAGGAACTGAACTAGATGGTGCAGCAGAATACACACACACACACACACACACACACACAGAGAGAGAGAGAGAGAGAGAGAGAGAGAGAGAGAGAGAGAGAGAGAGAGATACACAAAACCTCCTTAAGTCAGATTGCTGTTAAGCCATTGTTGGTCACTATTCTTTGAGATAGGAGGATCTGCAGCTATTGCCACAGGTGCTTGGGTGCTTGTGCCTCTCTCGTCAGGCCCCAAGAAAGTGCTCAAAACTGTCTGGCTTGGAATAAATAAGAGGTTATGGAATATCTGTGCAAGGCTGGGTCCAAGTGTACGGTTTCCAAGATTGGGGATTAAGCTGTGACGTGAGAATGATGCGTTAATTGTACGGGCCCTCCAGGGGACTTATTGACATTGAAATGAGCTTGATTTGTGTCTCCCCTGGGAAATGGGAGGGCTCTGCTTTCCCTCCCAGCATATGCAGATTGTGGGCTCCTGAATCAAGGGAGCTCTTGTCAGGCAGAGTAAAAAGAGCTCCATTTCAGAAACGCTGACACTTTTCTCTGAATGTGGTTCTCATTCTTCTTCCTTCCCTAGGCTATTTTCTTTGGCGGGATCGATGTCTCAATCCGTGGCGAAGTTTGGCCCTTCTTGTTGCGCTACTACAGCTATGAATCCACATCGGAAGAGAGGGAGGCTCTCCGTATTGCAAAGAGAGAGGAATATTTTCAGATTCAACAGAAAAGGTGGTCAGGAGGAGATGGCTAATGTGTGAAGATACGGTTGCAAAACTACTTTGCCCTGCTCTTCTTCCATCCTCTTATCCTCATGCTCTTCCTCTTCATCTTTCTATACCACCTTTCATTTATACATTTATATTTACACACACACAGAGAGAGAGAGAGAGAGAGAGAGAGAGAGAGTGAGAGTTCTCAGCCTTCAATAGGTCAAAATTATTAGAGGTCTAGAATGGATGCTTTGTAGTAAAGCACTTCTAACTTCATAAAATGTTGTGTTCCCCCCCCACACACACACAGTGATGTGACCACAGTTCAAGTACTTGGCATCCGTTTCACTGTTACATCCAGTTGCAACATCCTGTGATCACATGATTTGCAATGGTATTAGCCCCAAAAACCCCTTATTCAGAACATTAGGATTGTACTTAGAACCCGATTAGTGATCACAGACTGTAATAACAAATGGAAATCTAATTGTGGCCATAAGAAATACCAATACATACATACATACATACATACATACATACATACATACATACATACATATATACAAATCCCTTAAGGTGATATGTCTGTTTTCTCCGTAACAAGCCTGTGAGCTGGGTTGGGGTGAGATGAAGGACTGGCCCAGTTGGCTATTATACCTAAAGCAGGCCTAGAATTCCCAGTGTCCTGGTTTCTAAACTAGCACCTTGATCACTGCACCAAACTGATTCTCTTATAACTAAGGATCAGTCCCATCTCAAAGCATCTATGTTATTATAAACAGGAGTAGGGAGTATCCACTACCATTATGGTGGAAAGAGGGAGATTTGGTTGGGAAAGAATTCCAAGTGATGTACTTCTGAGACCTGATTCATATGTCAAATTCAGCCATAATTTCTTTAAATATGATTTGTTGAATAAATCACAGCTGGTTTCACAAACCATAAAACAGGGTTTACAGACATAACTGTTGGATCTATGGGGCTGACTGTATTTACACACACCAATAACTGCTGGCAAAGGTCATCCAGAGTTTTAGGACTTGGTACTGCCCATAATCTCTGATGACAGCCAGTCTGTTTCTACTTTTTATCGAATTCCAAGGTATCTGAACAAATTTTTCAGAAGGGACTGAAAAGAAGAACCCGGTCAATTGGAAGGAAAAGCAGGAAATCAGTTTCAGGCTGTTAGTTGGGTGACACATACTGTGAAAATTCAAGCTTTTCTATTTGCATATGGTGGATTCACCACTGAATTTGACCAGGAATGTATTTACACAATGAAAACTAGTACTTTGACTTGCATCCCTGACGTGTCTTTAATGGGTTATAGTAGCACACCGTTCATAGGTCTGCCTTTGAAAAGTGTTTGGAAATTTCAACAACTATAGAACCCTCCATTCAGGCTATTGATTAGGGTGAGTGGTGAGAAGCACGCGCCTCCCTTATTATATGATCTATTTTTCATATTATTGAATTGTATCCTGGGACTTGATTAGTTGAAGGGCTACATTCTTCCCTTTAGAACTGCATAGGTTCAACATCTTCAGGCAAGGCTTTTCCCTTGGTCCCATCATTATCATCATCATCATCATGAGCACATTTAGTTGCAATGGAAAAGAAGGCTGTTTTGGCTGTTTTTTTTATTTTTTGTAGTCTCCTACAAAAGGAGCCAAGTGATTATTCCACTGCCAACAATCAGATGAGTTTAATTTTGAGGATGGTGTTTACAGATTTCAAGCTGATGCAAAACTCTCTATAAGTGCTTTTTTTTTGTAAAAAAAAAAAACAGTCTACTTATCATTTTATATGCTGTGTTTGGTTTACTTCTGTGTGCCCTAGTAGTACACATTACAGCTTATGTAGTGCTTTGTATCGGGAAGAGACAGCTTTGGAAGGCAACCATAGCCTCCATGTGCAGCTCATTCAAGAAGTTTCTAGGATTGCATAGCTGCATTGGAAACCCTTTGCAGCAGCCTAAAAGACACAGTTGCTGGATATGCACTCAACAAGCGTTCCAAAGCATCTCTTTCCAATCGAATCTGTCACGCTGCAACACTCTAGCATAGGTGTGCAATAACTCCGGTGTTCCTCAGGCTCTCCCTCGCACCAGATGAGCAGAAGGCCTTCTGGAGGAATGTGCAGTTCACCGTTGATAAAGACGTGGTGAGGACTGACCGTAGTAACCAGTTTTTCCGAGGAGAGAACAACCCCAACGTGGAGACTATGAGGTGATCATTTTGTCCGAGTATTATCAAACTGTGCATCTACTTGGTAAATTCAAATTCATTCCTGCTTGGACAAAATCCTCTAGAGCAGTGATGGTGAACCTTTTAGAGACTGAGTGCCCAAACTGCAACCCAAAACCCACTTATGTATTGTCGGGTGCCGGGTGGGTATGGCCCATTGGTGGGTGTGGCCCATTGGGTGGGTGTGGTCCATTGGGTGGGTGTGGCTGCGGTGGTAAAGGCAGACTGGGTGGGACTAAAAAGTTCAATCAATTCCAATTTTGCGAGATCTTTTTTTTTCCGCAAGAAGTTGAAATTGATTGAACCTTTTTTTTTTTTGGCACATGGCGGCAGAGGCCTAAAATGAAAAGGTTTTATAAAACCCAGCTGAAGGCCTAGGACTGGGGCAATGGCGCGCATGCGCATAGAGAGGGCTCTGCGTGCCACAGGTTCGCCACCACAGCTCTAGAGGATTTCCAGGCAAACTGAGAAAGTCACAGGCTTTTTCACTTGAAGTGGCTAATCATACTCAGTGTAAAGCAGTTTCAAATGTTTCGCATGCCATGTCTTTTTAAACAGCCTTTCACATTCTGGGGCCTTCCAGATATGTGTCCAAATTCGCAGCTGGTAGGTTCCAAACAAATGGCTGGGAATTAAGGGAGCTGTAGGCCAATTAACAGAGGGGCATTAGGTTGGGAAAGGCTGCTTGACAGCAACCCGGAAGATGTGAGTTTTATGCCTGGTACAAATAAATAAAATACTGCAGGTGGGGGATTAAAGCAGAGAGAGAATGCTTTGTCTCAAGCCTCTAAATAGCTCAGGGCTTCCTGTTCTTCTGGAAAGTATGTACTTTCTGTGTCACAGTGGTCCTTTTCTCCCCATTTTCCTTTGTTTTAAAAGAAGCTTCTGGCCAATGGTTCCTTGGCAAGGGAAGAACAGAACTCTCTGACTTCCATCATCCCTAACCTCACTTTTTTTTCTTCAATTGTCCTCTTCTTAGGCGGATCTTGCTGAACTATGCAGTGTACAACCCGGCCATTGGCTATTCCCAGGGAATGTCTGACCTCGTGGCCCCCATCCTTGCTGAGGTTCTGGATGAATCGGATACTTTCTGGTGCTTTGTTGGTTTGATGCAGAACACGATCTTTATCAGCTCCCCTCGGGATGAGGATATGGAGAAGCAACTGGTGAGGCTTGGAGCTGAGGACCTTCTCTGTTTCCTCTCCTTTCCCTTCCCTGTCATTTCCAAAGAATCTGGAATCCGCACCTGGGGCTGCCAGAGACCCTTTGTATCCCACAAGAGAAACGGAAGGGTTGTGAGGCCTTCTGTCAGAGAAGCAGAAACGGGAAGGTTGTGCCCGCAAGAGGCCCTGGCAAGGCAGAAATAGCCACTTCCTGGCAGCTCCCAAGGCTCCTTGCCCAGATCCAGCGTTCTTCTTGTTGGCGTGTTGTTTTCTGGATTTGTGGGTCCACCAACTGGTGCAGTCAACTCTGGGAGGCCTGTGAGCTTCTATCGACTCAGGAGGGTGTGAAGAGGGAATGTAGGCAAACCAGAAGGTACAAACTGTGGCTGTCCCTCTTTCTCTTCGTCCCTGGCTGTGGCTGAGCCGGGCGCCATTTTTCTCTTTGCAGATGTACCTGCGAGAACTGCTGCGGTTGATGCACATACGCTTTTACCAGCACCTGTCTTCCCTTGGGGAGGATGGCCTTCAGGTGCTTTTTTGTCACCGCTGGATCCTCCTCTGCTTTAAGCGAGAGTTTCCGGATGCTGAAGCCCTGCGCATGTGGGAAGCCTGCTGGGCTCATTACCAGGTGAGGCCTGGGAACAGCTTGCTCTGGGCCCCGCATTCCCCCCAGGAGGAACTGCTGCCCATTGCAGTCCCTGCTTTCCAGCTCTCTGTCCCAGTCTTGATGGGGATAAGCTGAACATGCTTCCCGATCTCCTCTGAGTAATCACCTGGCCTTCCCTTCCATGTCCCCTGCCCCGTTTGTCTCCTCTGACATTACACAAACAGATGTAAATTTCCCGCTTGATGATTCATTTGGAAGCTTCTGGGCCCTCTTGTTGCTGTGGCTACCCATCAACCTGACAGGCCTTCTCCCCGCTGTGCAGTTGCAGCCGCAGTTTGGCTGCCATGCCCTCTCCCAAGCATCAACGTTGATGCCTGCTCTGTGCAAGCTCTCTCCAGAGAGAGAGAGGGGGGGGGGGACAGCGCCAGCCCTACCCTACCTCCACAGCGCCTCTTGTGAGGTTAGCCCCAGGTCCCAACAGCAGGAAAACAAGCGTATGGTTTGTGTCGGACCCGGTCTTCTCCTGTAAATGGAGGCTGCCACCAAACCACGTTCACCATATGCTGCTAACTCTCATTTCTCTCTGCCAAATAGTTGCTCTCTGGTGGTGGTCCAGGGAGGGAGGGGTGTAGGGGGGAGAAAATGCCTGGAGCAAGCTTGCCTCAAATTAGCATAGAGAGGCAGCCAGGAAGGTGGCTCTTCTTGGCTCCAGCTCCGGCTTCGCTGCCTCTTAGCTGCCTGATCTAGACTTCTGTGGGAATAATGTGTTACGGAAGACAAACTGAATCCTGCAGCCAAACCTAATTCAGAAGGGAAAGATCAGAGCTTCGATTATACATTAATAAAGCATATCATGTTAAATGCCAAAGTGCTTAAGTATGGGACAAGCACTAAAGCCTGCTGGTATTTACACATAAATCTGACTGTTACATGTACAAAATCTTGCATTGATTTCTTAGGAGACAGTGAGTTCTAGTCCCGCCATTAAAGCCGGTTGGGCCAGTCATTTTCTCTCAGCCCAGCCCACATCACAGAGCTGTTGTTCTGGGGGAAGATAGGAGGAGGAAGGAATATTATGTATGTTCAGCACCTTAAGGTGTTTATAAAGTAATAAAGGCAGGATTTTAAAAAAAGCTAATAAACTTGTAGTCACGTTTACATTCTATTCCAGTACATCATTAATTAATTTTTTTATTTTTACTTATCTTGGGCACCAGGCTTTATCCCTTGATTTGGTTTCTTTTTTCTTAGCTCTCATTCAAGTAAGAGTTGCGATAACTTTTGATAGCACTCTCTAGAAATCCCTTTGGAAGCTCATTCCAGTTGCTTGACTATTGTGAAATGGGTGGGTTGGCTCTGGAGTCGGGGTGGGCAACTACGGCCCCTGTATGACCTGTGGACTTCAATTCCCAGCTGACTTAGGAATTCTGGGAACTGAAGTCCACAGGTCATGAAGGAGCTGTAGTTGCCTATTCTGCTCTGGAGACATCTGGTTTTGACTCCTGAAGTGGACAGCAGGGGGCAGCATTGCAAACTTCATGTTTCCTACTAATTGGGCTGCAGAAATATTTCAGAGAAGCTGCAATCAAAGCAGGGTGGACATGCATAACATCCTATTCGTTGTTAGCAGTGTGACAGAATGGCAGTCTTCAGTTTCCCTTAGTCATTGCTGACTGTCTTTCAGGTCTGATCTTTCCTAATGCAATCTCCAGCACAACTGGGTACCTGCCTTCTCAGCTGAAGGTGCCTTTGAATTCAGTGGGGCTCAGGTTAGTGGGTGAGCAGCCTTGCTCTACTGGTGTCCTTCACCTGGTTGGACATCATCTCCCTTGATCCCCAGACAGCAAGAAGGCAGCAGCTTAAAGAAAGCTGGTGTGTAAAGTTATGGCCTTGCTTCACACGGTCCCGAGGTCTGAGCTAATGTTCTATTCATCCTTTGCTTTGGGCATCCTAGACCAGTGGGGGCGAACCTATGGCACGGGTGCCAGAGGCGGCACTCAGAGCCCTCTCTGTGGGCACGCGCACCGTCGCCCCAGTCCTAAGCCTTCAGCTGGATTTATAAAACCTTTTCGCTTTAGGCCTCCGCCGCTGTGTACCAAAAAATAAAAAAGTTCAATCAATCAGTCAATTTCAACTTCTCGCGGGGAAAAAAAAGATCTTGCAAAGTTGGAATTGATTGATTGAACTTTTTAGTCCCACCCACTCTGCCATTACCACCGCAGCCACGCTCACCCAGTGGGCCACATCCAGCCAATGGGCCACACCCACCTGGCACCCGACGATGCATAACTGGATTTTGGGTTGCAGTTTGGGCACTCGGTCTCTAAAAGGTTCGCCATAACTGTCCTAGACTATAGAGGTTAAAAATTCTTGGACTATATAGCAGCCACTCACTATTCCTGATGGAAGCAGTACCAATCTTCCAATGGTGCCTGTGCTGGAGATTGCAGACTCCAAAACCAGTTTTCCAAAACATTTGTTTTCCTGTGGTTTTTTTCCCCTGTATTTCCTTACAGAAAATAATCTGTCTTGACTGGGTGGGAGAAAAAAAATCTGAAATGCAAATGAGAGCTCTGGATTAATCTACTGTATTCATAGTCTGAAACTCAAACCATAACACGAAGTGCTTTCTTTTGTTCAATATCATATATTATTTTGAATGGTGGACAAGCAGTAATGTTGCCCTTCCATCTTGTCATATAATTACGAGCACCATAAATTGCTTTTTATTATGTTGCCATTTCTTGGGGCTTTCTCTTAGCCCGAGAAACCTCTTCAAAGCATTGTTGGTACTAACTGTCTTCTGGGTTACTTTTGCTGCAGACAGACTATTTCCATCTCTTCATCTGTGTGGCTATTGTGGTGATCTATGGGGATGATGTCATTGAACAGCAACTGGCTACGGACCAGATGCTACTACACTTTGGGAACCTCGCCATGCACATGAATGGGGAGCTCATACTCAGGAAGGTAAATCAATGTCCAGGGTTCAATGAAAACTTCTGGGAAGAAATGTATGGACTTTAAAGGAGCACACAGAACATTGTGCTCAATGTGGGAAGGTTTTTGGGGTGTCTATGTGTGATCAGCCGTGATTATGAGTTAACAATAGGCATGGTTTAGACGAGCTCGGCTATTCCATATAGCTGTCTTCAGTGGACCTAAACATCTCCTGCTGTCTCTCTTCCAGGCTAGGAGTTTGCTCTATCAGTTCCACCTGCTACCCCGGATCCCCTGCAGTCTGCATGACCTGTGCAAACTCTGTGGAACAGGCATGTGGGACAGTGGCTATATCCCCGCTGTGGAATGTACTGGAAATCACCCTGACTCTGATAGCTGCCCATATGGAGGCACGGTGGATGAACCATCTCCCAAGTCAGGAAATGATTGCAGAAGGGGACTTAAAACACGAGAGGTCTTTACTTTCCGGAAATGACTGTTCAGGATCATATCCCAGCTACGTAAGGACCTCAAAGCGGTGGGCACAGTTGGGGCCTGGCAAGCAAAAAATGAAAGAAAAAAAAGGGTTTTTTTCTTCTGATCCAAAAATGAAGCTGGTTATGGGAGGAGAACAGACATGATACAGAATAGAAGAATCTCCTGCTTTGTGATCAGAGCTGGATTTTGAGGTGCATCTTACCAGGAAGCGGGTTGATCAGACTATGGAGTTGCTTTGTAGTTTGGAACAAATGGAGAAAGAGGCTGAGCCCGGCAAATCAGGGTCAAAAGTGACCCAGGATTCCCTGCCTGCCTCCCTTGTTATGTAGGGAATAGCGGCTGCTTTAGAAAATGAATCCACAACCAGCAACCCTGATGGTAGGTGAAGGGGCAGGGTCAACTTTGCTCTTTTGCCCCAGTGCACCCACACACCTATGCATGCAGATACTGCTTTAACCAAAATGCACCACTCACTGGCTTTATGTGAAGCCACAATGATCATCTGGAGTATAGTCTGCCAAAAACAATAAAAATACAAACTTTGGAGTTCCTAAAGGAAACATTTCAGCGTGTGTGTAAACCTTGGTCACTGTATTTAAAAGGCCTTTAGTTTTTCTCCATATACACCTCAAATGTTTGCCATTAGGAAAGTGAGAATCAACAGCTTCACTGTGAATGTAAATTATGCAAAAATCACACCTTGTACAAGGTGGTCTGCTTGATTTAAACCTCTCAAAAAGAACAAACTGGAAAAAGTTCTTCTCGGTATCCCAACAATACCGAGACTTTGAGCCATTTAGCTTCATTAAGAACTTCTCTAGTGAGGACTTTGGTGGTCAGAGAAATTGTGTTCATTGTGTTCTCCTTTCAGACCAGTAGCCTACATCTCGTGTCCTCCTCCAGTTCTACTCCTGTTGATTTAACTGTTTCCTAGTTAAAATAATAACAATAAAAAACCCCTCCTTACGTCAAGTGGTAGGATCATCCTGTAACATTGAGGTGGTGTAATGAATGCCAACCTGAATAACATGAGGATTCTTTCAGTCACTTAGTTCAGTTCAAATGTTATTTAAGTCAAAGACCAGCTATAGAAGAAAACAATTAACAAATTGTTTAAAAATAAAAGAGGAAGGAAGGCCAAGCTAAAAAGACAATACCCACCAATATTACCAGTATAGGTTTTCAACCATTTTAATTTGACTCTTCATCGAATAGCCGGGCAGTGGAGCTGTTCTTGCTACATCTGTCCCAAAGAAGACACTTGGTTCTAGGTCCTAGGGGAAATATGCAAGCTGGAGTGGTGAGCAAAGGCAGCTACTTGGGGGGGGGGAAGGGGGGTGTTAAGTATTTCTTGCTTATTTTTAAATCTATTTAAATGGTTATAATGCACGTGTAAGAGAGAAGCTCCACTCAGCTCTTGGGATCTGTTGCTTTGAAATATAGGCCTTGCGCTGAATGAGCCACCTAGCTCTTCACACAGGTTGTTAAGCTGTCTCCTTCATAACCCTAGCAAAACCAGCATAATTTGCAACACCTCCCTGCTTCAGCCAAAAGCAGCCTGTTACTTTTTATGGAAATGGAATTACCAAGTGCTGGTAATTTCACCCATTTTTTTTAAAAAAAAATGAACAGATGACCCCCCCCCCAAAAGAAGACTTTTTGAGCTTCCAAATGGGTAGGATTGCCTATCCTTTGGAAGAGGAATCTTTCCAAATCTAGCTGAAAGGAATCTGGTGGCTGGGCTATAAAATGTTATTCAGTGCTTTGTCCAGAAATTGTATTTTTTTTTAAAAAAAAGATATAGCATGGACATTTCAGAACAAATGCAATTTATTGTCATCAAACTGCAGCAGTAGCTGGGTTGTATTGAGAATAGTTTCTAACAGCTTTCTTAGCCACCCAGAATCGCTTTTCTGAGTAAAATGGTCAGCATATAAATTAAATAAATTAAAAATGGATTAATAAATAAATAAGCTTTGCAATACAGTATAATTGGACATGAATGCTACAGGTCAGAATTTGAATGTTTTACTTGGTTTCCGTACATTTTTTAAGATTGAAATCCCAGTGGCAGACTAATAGGGCTATACTTATAGACTGAATTCGACAGATCGATCCCTGTGATGCAAGGAAGGGAATAGCCCTCAGCAGACCCAGGAGTTACTTTCACTGGGAAACAAAAACCAGGAATTAATTTTTTTCTCAACCAGAACAGAATCTGGAACATTACTGAAATTCTCTAATCAACTTGGACCAGAAGAATTCCCAGTTGCCACTTCAGAAGGAAATAAAATACTTGCATGTGTATACTTAACTGTCTCTGCTGGAATTAGAAAGAGCCTGTAAAATAAATTGCACATCTGGGAAATGCAGTTATTTGGGATTTGTACAGCACAACTTTCCCTCTTTAATGAGTTCAGTTTCAGCCTGAGATGTACAGTATTTGGTTGGAGTCAAACTGAAGGCCAGCTTATGCTTTGTGATGGGTTCTGGTCAATATACAAATTGCAACTTTTAAATTTGTTGAAAGCTGGTAACTTTCATTCCTCTAGTGTCATTAAATCAATTAAAGTTAATCACTGTAATTCTTTATTAAGCATTTTTCCTCTTTAACATTGGTTTAGTAGCATCTTCATTTGCACATGTTTCTGATTGTATAAATAAATTTGAATAAAATCTTGTATTTATTAAGAACACAGAGATTATTTTTTGTCTTGCTTTCTATAGGCTATGAAACAGAAATTTGCTGCAATGAGCTTAGAGCCTTGGCTTGCTTTGCCCCATTTTGCAAATGAATTTATGTCCCAATTCTCTTAAGTGAACCAGTATATTTTGCATCCCAGATCAATCGCTGCACATTTATTGAACAGAAGCAGAACTAAACACAGTAGCTTAAATTGCATCTGAACTGGAACAGTGACAAAAACAAGAGTGTGAACAACTCTGCAGTGAATTTCATCATCTTCTAGCTAATTGAAGACAGAACATTGGAATGCAGGTTTTGGCAGTCTGGCCTTGCCTTGTTATTCCTGCATGCAAAAGGTGTTGCATCTAGACTTTATCCTAGGCTAAATACTGGGTGAAAACCTGAATTAGTTGCATTTTGCACTAGTAACAGGAACAAAGTTGGAGCCGAGATAGCCTGTCTTTGATGCTAGTGTTGTTTTCAACTTTTTCAGTTGCTGCTTAGGTCTTGAGGACCTTTTCCCGTAACCATCCCCATCAATGTGGATTAGCAGATCGCTTGGAGAACAAATAACCATTGGTGCTTTAACACCCTGCCCTCTTGTCCACATCCAAGTTTCTTGTTGGATGCTTTTAAAAATCTCAACAACTGCTCTACAGGAAAGCTGGCCAGTGAGGTGCTCTCCCTCTGAAAAATAAAAAAGCTATGAAAAATCATAACAGATGGCAGCATGCATTGTAAAGCATACATTGTAAAGCAGGGTTGTCAAACTGCCGGCCCATGGGCCAGATGCGTCATGGCGAAACTGTGCCCACCCCATTGCCGGTAATGGAAAAAAGTCACGATACATCGCGACACGTCACATGACATTGTGAGTTTGACACCTCTGTTGTAAAGGCTAAGCAAGCTAAGACCTGATTAGCACCTGAAGGGGAGACTACCAGGAAATCCCACAGTTGCAAGTTAGGAGAATAAATTTGAAAAAAGAATGATGAACCACTTCCGTGTCATTGCCAAGAAATAACATGAATGTGTTCTTGGTGCAATCACTAAAGTTATTTTCTAAAGCAGTGGTCTCCAACCTTTTCGGTGTATGTGCACTCGCCACCACTTCCATGGCCCAGTTCCAAATGGGCTGTGGCCTGGAGCCAGGCCGCAGATTGGGGGTTGGGGGCCCCTGTTCTAAAGTGCTCCTGGGGGATCTGGCAGTCCTGCGAGAGGAGGTGGGGCCCAGGAGCTCCACCAGAGTGGGTTTTTTTTTTTTGGCATGGAAGCCCCTTTATAACTGTTTGTTTCAAGATCTGTTTCTCAATTCCTGAATTAGCAACTTAAGCCATTCTTTGTCACAAAGGACAAGCAAGAGGAGGCCCAGATTGCTATCCTCCTCTAGGCGCTGCTGATGTAACTCTGAAAGCAGTTTGCCTGTAGCTTCTTCCTTCCTTCACAGGAATTCAAGCTGCTCTTTGTCATCAGTGCAAGGGGTTGTGTTTGCATATATAAACAGAAGTGGGGAGGGAGGCCGAGGGGGAGAAGAGAGGAAAGCTCTTCAGATTTCAAGGTCAGGAGGGGAAGAGCTGTTTTAATCTCAGTTCAGCCCAGCCATGGTGGAGATGGCTGTGAGGGAGACGCTTCTGAAGCAGCAGCTTCCCTTGCTTTGGGTAGGGTAGGGAATATATTATGGGCTTGCCGCCTTCATAGCTCCTGGAGGTCACAGGAATACAGCACCACCTACTGTCTGCAAGCTCTACTGCTCAGTAGTGATTGTGTTATGGCAGGGGTGGGCAACTCTGGCAAGTTTACGAGCTGTGGACTTCAACTTCCAGAATTCCTGAGCCTGCCATGTTGGCTCAGGAATTCTGGGAGCAGACATCCATAGGATGTAAAGTTATAGTTGCCCATCCCTGCGCTATGGCGTAATTCCAAACATTCTCCTGGCTGACCCCATGTCACAGAATTTTTTTTTGGGGGGGGGGGGGTTTAAGGTGATAGCTGCCATTGCCATTGTTTGAATCACCACCTGCTAATAAGAAAATACGTTAGGATTGTTCTATCAATGTGTACTGTTTGTCTAAAAAGGGAATGTTGCTAACAGACTCATCAAATATATTTCACTGGACAACCCTTTCCACAGAAGATGGTAGGTTTTTGAGACAGCTTATGTTCTAGAAATACTAAGACAAGAAACCTCTCAATGTTTGTGCTTAAAATACTGTCCGGGAGATTATACAGAGGTTTTTTTTCCCCTAGTTTCTATATTACGTAGATCAGTGATGGTGAACCTATGGCATGGGTGCCAGAGGCGGCACTCAGAACCCCCTCTGTGGGCACATATGCCGTCGCCCCAGTCCTAGGCCTTCAGCTGGGTTTATAAAACCTTTTCGCTTTAGGCCTCTGCCACTATGTACCAAAAAATAAAAAAGTTCAATCAATCAGTCAATTTCAACTTCTTGCAGGAACAAAAAAAAAAATCTTGCAAAGTTGGAATTGATTGATTGAACTTTTTAGTCCCACCCACTCTGCCGTTACCACCGCAGCCACGCCCACCCAATGGTCCACATCCAGCCAATGGACCACACCCACCCGGCACCCAACGCATAACTGGATTTTGGGTTGCAGTTTGGGCACTGGGTCTCTAAAAGGTTCGCCATCACTGATGTAGATGTTTGCCATGGTGGCACAGTGGTTAGAATGCAGTACTGCAGGCTACTTCTGCTGACTCCCTGTTGCCAGCAGTTTGGCAGTTCGATTCTCACCGGCTCACCGCACCCTTCCATCGTTCTGAGGTTGGTAAAATGAAGTCCCAGATTGTTGGAGGCAATAGGCTGACTCTGTAAACTGCTTAGAGAGGACTGTAAAGTACTGTGAAGTGGTATATAAGTCTAAGTGCTATTGCTATTTGTATACTGTTGGTGCTTTTGCCTATCTTAGTGCTTAACAATTACTCCACAAACTTAAGCACCAATTCTGTCAGTACATTCCTAAACATACCTTATTGTTTAGTTAGATTAGATTGTGTTCAACCAACCGTCAGTACGCTTAGTGACAGTTTGTCTCAAATCTATGCCAGTTGAGAAAATATGTCCTCTCACTGGAATTGCCCCACCTAAGATCAAGAGAGAAGTAGCAGCAGATGCCGAGAGAACTAAGCAAGAGAATGATCCTTGACGTCCTCTGAATGGACATATGCCCAAAGCCTGCTGACTCAGATCTAGAAACACCTTAATGGCAAAACCAAACATTCTTGAAGGTACACAAGAACGAAATTGAATTAAAAGATGGAGGAAGGAGACTACCAAGTGAGGAATAACATTAAAAAGGATATGGCTGAAGGATCTGATCTTCCTTATACTACTTGGAGGACCCTGAATAGGTTGAAAGCTGGAATGCCTAAGTGTAAAACCAATGTGCTCAAGTGGAGCCTTTTAGCAGATAACAACACTCTGTGTGAAGGTGGAAAGACACTGAGCCCAGCCCATCTGCTGGTATGTCAGCTACTACCAGAAACATGTACTGATAATGACTTATTTTTGGCCAACAACAAAGCCAAGAAGGTGCCTGCATTCTGGCAGTTTAAAGTTTGATCTAGACCCCAGATGAAGAAGAAACATCCCTCACATTTCTTGTATCAATATAAAATGGCAGAGGGATGGGACCACTGTATACAATTAGTGTGTCAACAGAAAAGGTGAGAGATCCTGCCATGCACATCATGGACCATGTTATTATGCCAATGATTGCCTAATTGTCCCTTAGTATGTGATTCTACACATACCAGAGCACAGTGCTTCCCAAATATATATTAATGATGTGGAACTTATGAGACTTTCTGAAGAGCTGAACTAGTATAGTTTGTGCAACTGTATTTGCAGAAATCCCATTGAGCTAAATGGGATGCACATTCTAACAATAAGGTATGTTTCGGAATCTATTCTTATTGACCAAACTCTTGCTTAAAACAGTAGCAAACATGAATAGGTTGAGCTCCGAGATGATACTAGTCTGCTGCCCTTGCCTCGATTCATGTTTCTGGAACTGGAAACTATCCTGCTTCTCAGTTTACAATGAATGTATTTTACTTTCAGTTTGCAATCAGTTGCCCGTTAGGTTTGGTTGGTTGTTTTTACTAAAACCCAGCTCACTGTTGTTGTTATATGACACTATTAAGGGGCAGGGTCCCTCCCTATCATGCTTAAATTCTACTGCATTATTGCATTTCCTATATTAATATCAACTATGAATAATGAACATTCCTGATTTGGTTTATGAAAATCCTTCCTTCTCCAGGATATCAGTGGCCATCATGGGTGATGAGGTCACTAGTTCTCCAGTGGCTCTCTTTCCATCTAGTATCTCTTCTTCCAGCCTCAGGAAGAATGCCAAGGAGAGATTCCTCTGATGCTTAACAGAGCAGGAAGAGTCTCCCTTCCCCATGAGGCTATTAGTTGTCAATATAATGCCCTTGCATTTTCAGGGATGCATCTTTGTGAATGAGCGTCAAAGAACTGAAAGCCATAGAAAATGTATGGTTGAGTTATTCAAATAGTATGAGAAGTATGGCTCAATCATAAAGCCCAATTGCTATAAAGGATAAACTTTGTCCCAATTGAATGCAGCTCTTGCAATTGCAATTGTTACAGATGTGTCCAAATCCATCTCAACATTTTGTGTTATGGATGGGTCATCTGGGGAGTGGCCAAGCTGCTGAGACAAGGCATTTTTTTAGTCCCAGATTGCTGCTTGCCTGCAAGTCTTCCTCTAGGGATGGGGTGGATCGTGCTCCCCCCCCACTTCCTAGAAATAGGCTCATCTGTATGTACGAACACAGCCACAAGCCCAAATTCACTTCTCTTTTGGCCGTGAGCAGTAATCTATGGCAGCTTTTAAATTCTTGCCCCCTGAAAATGCTCTGTGATTTATTTGCCCTGTTGCCAATCTTACCTCTCTTTCGGCATGCAAAAATTTTATTATCTGCTTTAAAGTTAAGAACAGGCGTTTGTTCTTATTGCAG